TCATATGACTACACAATTAGATAATAATGAAGGCTTAGTTAGGATTTCAATGCAGTGAACAGACACCATGACCAAGGCAACTCTTATAAAGGAAGCATTGGGGCTGGCTTACAGTTTCAGAGATTCAGTCCACTGTCATCGGGGCAGGAAGCATGGTAGTATGCAGGCAAGGAGCCAAGAGTTCTCCATCTTGATTCATAGGCAGCAGAAGGGGACTGTCTGCCACGTGCAGCCAGGAGACAGCTCTGAGTCCACACTTGCAGAGCTTGAGCATAGGAGATAGCAAAGCCTGATTACACAGTGATGCACGTCCTCCAACAAGGCCACACCCCCTAATAGTGTCACTCCCTATGGCCAAACATTGAAACACATGAATCTATAGGGGCCAAACCTATTCAAACTACCACAACGGCCAATAAGGGAACACAGAAATCATGAAAAAAATAACAATTTAAGTCGGGCGGTGGTGGTGCACACCTTTAATCCCAGCACTTGGGAGGCAGAGGCAGGCGGATTTCTGAGTTCGAGGCCAGCCTGGTTTACAGAGTGAGTTCCAGGACAGCCAGGGCTACACAGAGAAACCCTGTCTCAAAACAAAACAAAATTTAAAAATAATAAAGGTTGGTGGAGAGGTGGCTCAGCAGTTAAGAACACTACTTTTGCAGAGGACCCAAGTTCTGTTCCTAGTACCCAGGGCTGGCAGCTTACAACTGCATTTAACTCCAGCTCCAGGAGATCCAATGCCTCTGGCTTCAGTGGGTACCTGCACACACACACACACACACACACACACACACACAATTTGAAATAAAAAAAAAATCTGGGCTGGAGAGATGGCTCAGTGGTTAAGAGCATTGACTGCTCTTCCAAAGGTCCTGAGTTCAATTCCCAGCAACCACATGGTGGTTCACAACCATCTGCAATGGGATCTGATGCCCTCTTCTGGCATGTCTGAAGACAGCCACAGTGTACTCATCATATATATAAAATACATAAAATCTTAAAAAAAAAAAAAAAAAGAAGTAAGCCGGGCAGTGGTGGCGCACGCCTTTAATCCCAGCACTTGGGAGGCAGAGGCAGGTGGATTTCTGAGTTCG